ACCTAGAGGTTAGCAGCCCAATTCATTAGAATAGGTGAAATCTATAATGAGGTCAATGAATTATTAGAAAAATATCAAAATTAGTAAGGATATTGCTTTAGAAAGTATGGAATATATTTTACATATTTGTATATAAAATAGTTAAACTGAAATAAATTCTAGTGCTTGAAAACATAAGCTTTGATTATCTGGATAATCCATTTATATGGCTATTTCATTTATTTTCCAATAATGCAGAATAGAGTGAGATATATCACAATAACTCAAAAGCATGAAACTAATCAATTTCTGTATAAAATAATATGGTTCCTAGTGGCTGGTGGGTTTGAACTGTCAACCAAGCAGTCCAATACTTATCCTACAGCTCTACCAGGGCTCTCAGAATAAATGCAGTGAGTTTAAAAATCACCATCAATTCCTTTATTTTCTGGATTATGTTCTTCAAAAGTTTTCTTTTCTCTTGTATTTGAATATGCTATAAAGTCATGAACTTTCCCTTTCAGAACACCCAGTTCATTTTGCATTTTTAATATGCTATTGTCATACTGAATTCCTTCAAGGGTTTGCTGCATCTCCAAAATTTCAGAAACTGCTTTCAGCATATCATCCTCCATATTAAACATCTGTATAGTCAACTCTTCCATTTTCTTTTCTGTCACTATTAGATCCTGAGAGACTTTGAGAACAGAGTGAATAGCATTTTCAATTTTTGGTAAATGTGTCTTGCATTCTTCAACTTTGGTATCATAGTTGGAAAGTTTACTAGTCAAGTCTTCATCTCTGGCAAAAAGAGCATGTTGTTCCTCTTGTAACTTTTCAACTGCTTTTGCATCAGAGCCAAGTTGCTCCTCTATTCGGAGAAGATCTTCTTCTTCTTGTCTTTTGACTGTTCTAATATTTCTCAGTGTGCTGTCTTCCAACTCTTTCAGTCTTTGGGTGAGCAATTTTAGCCCTTGTTCAGCCAAGTTAATTTGGACAGTAACTTGAGAATGTATATGTTTTGCTTCTAACGTGAAAGTGTTTGTATTAACATTCATTTCTTCTAGGCTTCTCTTCCACAAATCTGTAACATTCTGGAATTTCTCATTAAGGCTTTGCATCTTTTGAGTGAGCATCTCTTCGCTATTTTGAATGCCATGTATGACGCTTTGGAGGCTGGACACTTCCTGCTCAAACTGGGTCACCAAAGACATGGATAATGTAGCTTCCTGCAGGATACTTTCAGTAGACTCAAGCTGCATTTATAACACAAAACAATTCCCATGGCTACTTAATCATTGTTATATTAAAGAAACACACGAACAATCAAGAGCATGACATGTACCAAGCTCAAATATTTGAAGATGTCTAAAATTTCCTAGAAATTTATAGACAGAAACATTTATTACTTTAGTAGCTGTTTTAATATATTTGAAACAATTAATAGATTAGCTATGCTACAAAATTACAGGCCTGAAGTTATGATCCTATATATTTATGTAGCTTTATGTACTCATATTCAAGAAATAAACAATGCTACAGAAGCCTGCGTCTGTCTAACACATTTCCCTCTTTTTTACTCCAACTAAAAGTAATTGGCGTGTCATTTTTATGGTTATTTGGCTTTTAGAAATGGTGGTAACTTAATTTTAAAAGTTACCACATTTCCTATAAGGAGCTCTGGCAGCATAATGGTTACGAGTCAGGCTGCTAACCTCACGGTCAGCAGTTTGAAACTACCAGTGGTTCTGTGGGAGAAAGATGAGGCTTTCTGCTCTTGTAAAGATTTACAGCCTTGGAAACCCTACACAAGGTCACTATGAGCAGGAATCAACTCCAGGGCACAAGGCCACCACGTTTCCTAAATCCTATGATTCTGGAGGAGTTTTTTATTGGAACCGATTTATTGATCAACTTCTTGCAGAGAAGGTACCAGATTCAGATTTCATAGCTATAAAAAAGGTAAATATGAATTAAAAACTGTTTAGTGTGACAATCCTCATCAAATGATAACATGTTCTAAGGATGTGTAAAGTATGATAAGTCCCTGGAACCTATGAGGGCCAGGCTGTACATGACTTTTAGTCTACATCCACACATAGGTAGGGACTCCTGGTGTGGCGCTGTAGGTTCAACACTGGATTGCGAATCACAAGGTCAGCAGTTCAAACCCACCAACTGCTCCTTGGAAACCTTATACAGGATTGCTATGAGTTGGAACTGACTAGACAGCACTTAAAACAATAACACATAGGTAGCAGCACCTTAGAATTTATGGGGAAGCCTAGACACAGTCATTAATTTCTCAAAAGTTTACAGCACTGTGTTGAAGAATATATATAATGGTTAACAAGACACAGCTTAGTTTAATTGGGGAGGAAGACAGTCTGTATGCACTATGAAAGAACTTAGGTGGGGTATCCAACTTAGACTTCGATGATTAATAAAAGTATTCTAGGCTGATGAAAGGAGATGTAGATAGGTCTCTTGTGATACAATAGTGAATAATTGTCATCAAGAATGATTGTGAGGGTTGGAAATGTAAAGGCAGATGTTTTGTAGCAAAAGGAGGGGAGTGACTGACTGCATTCTAGGAGCAGAGGTCCCTGAGACCATGAAGGGACAAGAGCGGAGAATAGGACCATACCCAGAGAAGTAGTGACACCAGAGATAGAGGCAGAGATGATGACGTGGAGATATTGAGCAACTGGGGACTTTAGACCCAGAGAGGGAGAGGGGTTGACCGGGTGTGTGTGTGTGTGTAAGTCTGTAGGGTATACCCTTTGGTTGGTTGATGATGGATGCATGGAGGGGATTGTAACCATGGCAATGAAATGATATACGATAGGATGAATGTAAAGCTAATGTTCTCACATGTAAACTATCACATAATTCACAATAAAACATTTAAAAAAAGAAAAGTGAAAGTATTACCTAATATTTACTTCCAATAACTGCTACCTAATATTTACTTCCAATAACTGCTACTCTAAATCATCCTACATGCTCCTACCAGATTAAGCTTTTAAAACTGCTATGTACATGATATCATCATATCACTGTTAGAAAGTCTATGAATAGGCTAAAGTACCAAATTCCATGGCCTCTCCACAAGTAGCCACTTTCTCCTCTCTGCGTAGCTAAGTGTCCTTACTGACTCTCAGCTCCTCAGTTCAGCATTGTTTCAGAGCCATAGCCCTATCAGCCTGAACTCTTGTAGCACCTAATGTTTTACATTGTGCCACTTCTTTGACCCTTAGTAGATGTAATTTTGACTTCACTCTTTACCAGATTTTGTACTTGACAATGGATATAAAAAGATAAATATGTAAAGCATGGTTCCTGACTTCAGTTTCACAGGCAAGATAGGAGAGACAGTGTTTTAGATATTTTACATCATATATCCTGGAGTCCCACTAAGATTCAGTACCTCCCGTGAGCCAGTTAGCTTATTAGGCACCAGGGAGATAGAGATGAAATGCATGTTGTTTGCAGCTTGAAAGAAGAGCAAATTAACAACCACCCAAAATCACAGCAGATAGTTATTACTGTCACATCAGAATTCACATAGGGAGCTTAGAGGAGAAGTACAAAGTGGGGAGTGCAATGAAGAAAGACTTAGAAGTAACTCCAAAATCTGACTTTTTAACAGACTGATGAGTTCACCAGGTGAAGAAGATGGAAAAGCCTCTAAATTCTTTAGGATAAAAGATCATGTCTTATGCTCCTTTTCCTTCTTAAAGGAATACCCTAGCAATACATTAAATATACAAGTCCACGGCATTAAACAGCATCAAAACCCAGGGAGAAACAGTCACCTTTTAAATTTACATACAATCTCTACATTAATGTCAAGGTGAAAGTCTCAGTTGGCTGCTGCTCTGTCTCTCACTCTTTCCTGCCACTTGTATATCTTCCTTTTTAACAAAGAGGGACCAGGCTAGGGGTCAGGAATCTGGCAGGCAAAAACAATGACTACAACTTAGTAATGCATTTTCATTGGGAACTTTTTAAAGGTTAATTTTATTTTGTGGCAAGTGATTTCCCACTAGGATGGTAATGTTAAAACATCTTTGATACCAAACGAACTTGAGGAAAACGAATGAGTAAGTTTAAAGGGGCATATTAAGGCACTAAAAGAACAGGCAGTATGCAAGACAGGCACAAACACAAGAAGGTGACACTCATGGGAATGAAATCTGGATGTTTTCCCTTCAGCCTTCCCCTGTACTGGCAACAATGTGGAGGACAGAAATGTGTTCATGCCCTCATTTCTTCCCCAGTGTCTGTCACTACGTGATACAGGCCAGAAGCTTGGAGAAGGACTTGCTTAAGACATTTTAAAAGTTACCTCATTTTCGACCAATTAGTAGATAGGTCTGCAGGGTGGACAACTGGCCAGGGCCGTAGTTAATTAAGGAATTAAAATAAATAATTTGAGACATATTAATTGAGGAATTAATATAAATAAATGAGACATGGGGAAACCTGTGCATGAAGAATTCA